CCTCCCTCCCTCCCTCCCTCCCTCCCTCCCCTTTCTTCTGTCCTACCTTTGTATCTTTCTGTTTCCTCTCCATTCTTTCCCTCCACCTCCTTCCTTCCCTCCCTCTCTCTTATCCTTTCTCTCCCTCCCAGTTCTACACGAGAACAAGCTCACCCATACAGACCTCAAGCCGGAGAACATCCTTTTCGTCAACTCGGACTACGAGATGACCTACAACCTGGAGAAGGTGAGCTTGTGTGTCACCGGGAGCGTCTCCTTCTCCGGTGTGCCCTCCTTCCCTCCCCTTCAATGCCCTCCCCTTGGGGGTTGGGCCCAAAGGTGGGAGAGGACCTGGTCCATGCCGCTAACTCCAACCTGTCCCTCCCCCTCCCCTCCCAGAAACGGGACGAGCGCAGCATCAAGAACACAGGCATTCGGGTGGTGGATTTCGGCAGTGCCACTTTCGATCACGAGCATCACAGCACCATCGTCTCCACGCGGCACTACCGGGCACCCGAAGTCATTTTGGGTCAGTATTAACACCTTGGTGCCGTTCCCAGGTCCAGGTTGGACTCTGAATACCACAAATGCAGATCCTTTTTCCTCCCCCCCCCTTTGCTGCAACAGAACTCGGCTGGACCCAACCCTGCGACGTCTGGAGCGTTGGCTGTATTATCTTCGAGTATTACATGGGCTTCACCTTGTTCCAGGTGAGTGTGGCAGGTAGGAGCCCTCGGAGGCAGGAGGGGATGGGCGAGCCCTAAGAAAACCAGGCCGTTCCAGGTCTTCGTTTTTAACAACTCAAAACTTTTTTTTCTCTCCCCCTTCCCCTCGCAGACCCATGACAATCGCGAACACCTGGCTATGATGGAGCGTATCCTAGGCCCCATCCCGTCGAGGATGATCCGAAAAACCAGGTAGGGGCAGGGAAAGGTGGGGGTACGGTCCTCAGGGAAGGTCGAAAAGGCACGGAACTCGAGCGGCTTTGGATTAGGGACAGAAACTGAGACAGGTAGAAGAGAAACCTGGGTAGCTCAGGGTTGAACCTGTGGGGTCCTCGGTGGCCTCAGAGCTAGGTGGTTTTCTTGCCGACGTTTCATGACCCAGCTTGGTCACATCACCAGCGCTGGAAGGGAGAAGGCTTTGTGGAGTGGAGAAGGAGGAGGACTGTAGGGTCCTCGGTGGTCTCTGAGCTTGGTGGAGGGTTGTTTTTTTTGGCAGACATTTCATGACAGAACCAGGTGACATCGTCCTCAAGCCTCACTCCCTTGTAACGCTGATGGTGTCCCCTAGTTGGGTCATGAAACGTCTGCAAGGAAACCACCGACCTCAGAGAACACCAAGGACCCTTTTGTCTGTCTCCTCCTTGTCGGTTGTCTCTTTTTCATCTTCCTCCTCCTCCTCCTCCTCTTCTTCCTCCTCCCTCTCCTCCATTCTCCCTTTCTGCAAACCCCACTCCCTTCTAGCCCTGATAATGTTACCAGCCAAGTTCAGAGACCACCAAGGAACTCACCGTCCTCTTCCTCCTCCCTCCTCGCTTAACAAACGATCATAAGTGAAAAGTTTACCTGTATTTGTATACTTGATTTAAAAAAAAACAACAACCACCAAGGAGCAACACACACTGGCCCTTCTTACCACCGATGGTTCCTTGTGATGTTTTTCATTTTTATTTTATTTTTCCTGGTTTAGGAAGCAGAAATATTTCTACCACGGACATTTGGACTGGGATGAGAATACCTCGGCGGGGCGCTACGTGCGTGAAAATTGCAAGCCGCTCCGGGTAAGCTGGGGCCTGTTCCCTGCCTCCCACCGGCCTGACCAAGTTGGATTCCTTCAGGAAACCAGCATCATGCATCGTAACGTGATAAAAATACATGCCGGTCACCAAAGCGTCCGGATTTTGATCTCGTGACCCACAGCGACACCGCTGTGTGGAAAAAAAAATGGCCCTAAGTCATCTTTTTCAGCGCCGTTATAACATCGGTCACTAAACGAGCAGCTGTATCTCAGAGATGACCTGTCATTTGCCATTGTCCATGCCTCCTCCTCCAGCTATAAAAATCACAGAAGCGGGAGGGACCTTAGAGATCCTCTAGCCCGACCCAGGGGCGCCCCACTTCACCCCACTCTTCCCCCCACCCCTCCGGCCCAAGAGTCAGCAATCTGTGGCTCTAGAGCCGCATGTGGCTCTCTCCTCTCTCTGCTGCCGGACAGGTAGAGGAAAAAGGATGCCATGCTAGGAGGAAACTCTATGGTAGGGCAACCGGACTTCCGGTCAGCTCCACAATGGATAGGGCTTTCGGTTAGGACAGGTGGAGGAAAAAGGGCGCCGTGCTAGGAGGAGACTCTATGGTAGGGCAACCGGACTTCCGGTCGGCTCCAGAATTGAACCCTTCCGGTTAGGATCTTTGAGGCTCTTGCTTAAGGTTGCCGACCCCTGTCCTAGCCGTCCCTCTCCGCTTCCCTTTCCAGAGATACCTGTCGTCCGAAGCCGAAGAACACCACCGGCTCTTCGACCTACTGGAGGGCATGCTGGAATACGAACCAACCAAACGGCTGACACTCTCCGAGGCTCTCAAGCACCCCTTCTTTGGCGTCCTCCAACTACAGCCCGCCCCAAAAGCTTGGGATTCGAACCGGGACATCAGCCGGTGACCCGTCGGGCCCCTTGGCTTCGTTTCTCGAACCCGTGACCCACTCAACACCCCCCCACACACACACACACACAACGTATTTGGCCCCTGTGGTGGCTGGCACTCCACATTTTTGGTGCTTTTCTGACCATCCGAAGAATACAGAACAAAACCCTTTGAGTCCAGGTCCCTTCCCTTTTAGTTCTCTCATAAAGCTTGTGGATATGTGAAATAGCCTGTAAATATCTCTCTCTATGAAATATATATATATATATATGTGTATATATAAATTATATATAAGACACACAAAGGATATCTTGTGCCATTTCCCTCCCTCTGTAAATAATACCACCGACCGGCCCCCCTCCTGTCCCTCGGCCCGGTTCTCTACCCCTGCGTGGATTTTGCGGTTGTCGGACAATTATTTTTTGAGGAGAACAAACCGCGTCCCCCCGTTTCAAGTGCTGGGATTTTGTATGAATTTTGTACAGTCTTGGTGGGGAGAATAAAAAAAGCCCATGTCCAATGAAGTTTTGCTCTGCGGGTGTTAACGCTTTTTGGTTTCTCTTGTTTCTTCGCTTTCCTTTTCCCCTCCTGCAAATAATAACGCCAACTCCAGTCTGAACTGACTGTGCGGCAAACCATCATCATGATTGAACACCATCAGCATTGACAGAAATCCCCATAGGTCAGTTGCAAAAGGCAGCTTTGGAAGAGCTGAAATCCTGCGCCGGGTGCTTTTTAACCCCATCAGACGACCTTTTTTGGATAGGAAAAAAAAATGATCTGTTTTCTCTTTTCTCTTTTTAACATACCATTTTCTTTTTTGATCCGGGGTGGACCTCACCTTAATGACCACAAACTGAGCCTAGAATTTATGTTGTTAAGCTAGAAGTCCATTTTGTCCCGTTTTACGACCTCCCTTGGCACATTTGCTAAAACGAATCGCTGAAATTGTTAAAATGAATAACATGTTGAAATGAATTGGCTTTCCGCCATAGCCTTTGCGGTGTGAAAAATGGTCACAAAAGTCTTTTTTTTTCCCCAGCGCCCTTGTAACTTCAAACGGTCAGTAAGTGAACTGTTGTAAGTCGAGGACCACCTGCGTTAGATCTGGAGGTGCAGGCTGTCTTTTCCTGTCTTAAGAAAATATTGTTAATCCCCCGTGGTAAATTTTATATATCACAGCACGAATCCTGGACAGCAAGATTTTTCTCAGCATTAGAAAAAGAAACATTTGCTTAACAACAACAACAACAAAAAAGCAAAAATGTGGTAAAATCAGGAGTGGCTCAGTTAACAAATGCCTTGCTTAGCAGGCAAAATTCTGGTCGTAAGTCCAGGTGTGATGACCCAGGGCGTGGCACAAAGGCAACAGAGTCAAATTATCTCCAACTTTGCCCCAATGTCCAGTTACCTTCTGCTGGAGAAAAACTCTCCCAGGAACAGCCTTTAAGTGGAGGAAATTCAGTCCAAAAACGAAGTACATACAAATTGTAACTAAAAATCCAAACAAGCCAAGCTGCAGTAATTAACTTGACAGGGCAGGAGAAGGAATTGCAGACTTGAAAGGCCAGCAAAACACACAGTTGGAAAGATGCCAGGAACCCAAATAAGCTGCTACAATTCCAGATAAATTCACAATTTGCTCCCAACAACTTGCCGTGCGCAGCTTCCTTTTCTAAACACTTGTGTTCCCAGCCGCAGCTAATGAAGGGAATCAGGGCCCTTTCCTCCCCTGTAAGCCACGCAACTCACGTTGCTCCCTTCTCCGTTCCTCCCCGTGTGCCCTAGAATGAAGAGGGGGTGGGCCTGGGTCTTCCTCCGAATTCCCTCTCCCTTGTTCTATATCTTCGCTGCTGTGCCCAGCCAGACTTTGCCCTTCCCCAGTTTCCTCCACAGCCAACGGAGCTCCCGCACCCGGCTGCTCAGCCTCCCCCTCCAAGTCAGATTCCAACAGGCGCATGACACCAGAACTATATACCACCAGCAGCTAATTTGTTATTTTTTTTTTCCCCCTGTAACTTCTCTGCTGTATTGTTTTCATTGCTGTTTCAGAGAAGAGCATCGAAGCCGGAGACGATTTCAGGCTAAAATCCAGTTCAAGGAAAAAAAAACAAAAAACAGAGTCAGGATTACAGTATATATACCCAGCTCCCTTCCCCCTTCGACGCTCGGTGTAAGGAGCTTAAAACCCACATCCTGCCAACTGCAGCTGGCGCCTTCAGCCTGTTTCTTATAAACCTTTCATCATTCTCCGTGGGATTGTGGGTCATCGTGCCACAAAGACTTTTCCAGCTGCCGTTCTAGTTTTGCTTGACAAGCATTAAGCAATGTTCACACTGGCTTTGGTCAATCTTACTTTGGTTGAGGAATCTTTTCAGTTCGGTCACAGCTGCGGGTACTGTTCCTGTTGTCATTATTGTAATACATGTTTTTAGCATTATGTGTCAAGGAATTGTGGGTATCTGTTTCTTTATCACATATTTATTATCCGTCTAATCTATCACCATCTATATCTATCTATATCACATATTATCTATTATCCATCTAATCTATCATCTATATCACATTTATTATCCATCTAATCTATCACCATCTATTATATATTATCTATTATCCACCTAATTTATCACCATCTATATATATAAATATCACATATTATCTATTATCCATCTAATCTATCACCTATATCTATCACATTTATTATCCATCTAATCTATCATATCTATCACTATCTATCATTATTATCCATCTAATCTATATATCTATCTCATATTATCTACTATCCATCTAATCTATCACCTATATCACATTTATTATCCAATCTATCTTATCTATCACTATCTATCTATCTTATCTATCTATATCTATATCTATCTATCTATCTATCTATCTATCTATCTATC